TCCCTTTCTGACCTTAAATCTATTCATCCTGTGCCAACACTTGTGAATTCAGCCTCTGGAGCTTCATGGGACTACTGTATGGAGGCAAAGGAATTGCACTTTTCTGCTAATAGGTACTTAGGGTAAGATCTCTGGACATTTCAAGGTTCTGGACACCCAAGCGGGTCCTTGGTAGATTGCTCAGTTGCACTTAAATGCCTGGAAAATGATCCTTGTTGCTTTTGTTCTAGACTCACATTCTTTGTCTGCATTTGCCAGCATCACAGGAAGCAGAGAAAGTGTAGCTTAAAAATGGCTCAGAAGTATCTTGTGGTGGTCTCATGGTGTGATGCTCTGGTAATTCACCAAAGAGATCTGACTGAATGTCTCAGTAAGGTGTTTTATTGACTATCTTAGCTATGACAATGTTTCTCTGTATATTTTTTCTTCATAGTTCTTGGTTTTTATTGGAGTTTACTAACCAAACACTGGTTTTTCATGGAAAGGGAAATGGATCACCATTGCTGGAATGCAGTTCAGGTCTCTGAAAGATGCTTTGGCTAGCTGTAATTATAGAAGGAGAGATGTGGTCTGTGTGCTGAAGGCGTTTGAGGTCACTTGGAGACTTGTGTTTGAAGTAATAACTGTGCTTAGTGACAGGAGTTTTTTTAAAGCATGTACAGGCCCCTTTTCTCACCAAATAAAATGTATGTATTCACCACCTTGAGCAAAGAGGGTGTTTCTTTTACTCACATTTTCAGTGGAAATTCTGAATCATGAGCCAGTATTAAACATGGGTGGCTGTTTTCTTTAGTACGTCTGTGTTTTCCAGTAAACAGCACGCCTTTTCTTTGATCTTTAAACAGAAAGATTACCGATACACTTAGCAAGAAAGATGGGGCTTGTTTCATCTGGGTTGTATTCCTGATGGTGATGAAGTTTCCTTTAGCTTTTGAAGCTAGTGAGACAGATGTTGCAGTAGGAAACAGAAACAAGGAAATGCAGAAAAGGTGTCTCTTCAATTACAGGTGAAGAGACGCTCAGCAGCAGCTCTTGCTTGACATGGCTTCTTGGCCAGGCAGCTCTGCTGTGGACTACAGAGAGTGTCCCTTTGGCTGATATCACAGCCCTGTAGAGCTGACCATCTCCTTCACAGAAGGAAAAGCCGTGATTATGGGCTAGTGTTTGAGAAGGCGGTGTCTCCATCAGACAGGATGAAGACCCAGCCAGTGTTCTGTTGATAAATGTATTGTGCTTTAAAGAGATCCTTTTTCACTGGCTGCTTGTTTTTGTCAGTCCCTTGAGTAAAAAAACATGACTTCCTGGAAGCAAAGATACCTTTTGTTCTGGCAGTATGCCTTAGGAATTGCTTATTTTAGTTGCAGAAGTTACTGCCTGGATGAGGTTTTGTAAAACAACTTGGTGGATGCCAGGTATCTTTTGGAAGCTACCTGTCCTCACAGGCAATGTTTGCCATCTTACTGTTATTACAGATGGGGACTGTGTGAGTTATTGCAACTCCCCAAGTCCTAAATCCTTTGATTTCGTTTACCTTCTTTACACCCTGGGAACCGACACATTTCTCCATGGCAATCTCTTTAATTTCTGTTTTGTGATCCCTGTGTTACTAAGTGGGAGCTTCTGCCATGCACCTCCTCTGAGCTTCCCCTTGCCGTGCAGGTAAGCTACTTTGAAGTCTGGTTACTGACAACTGGATGATGCAGGAGGGAAAGTCCTGGCTGGGCCTCTAAAGCACAGGTCTTAAAAGGAGCCAGGGCAGGCATCAAGTAGATTTGTGACTGAACAGTAGGGACACAGCCAGGAAAAGGAGCAGAAATGAAAGCATTGGTCTGGCTTTCAAGGATGTAATAGCTAGTAAGGGCTAAGTAGATGTATCTCGGTTTCATGACAGCAGCAGCACTAGGCTATGATTCCATCTCTGACCCTCATGAGACTCTCTGGTCCTTTTGCCTCATGGTCATGGTCCTGCCCAGCTGTGTTGTAACCCCACGCAAGCCTGATCAACAGGAGAATCCATAGATATGAGGCACTTCTCCTGCCACTCAGTCAGCTACTTATTACAATATCCGGTTTCACTCAGGGCCAAAAGTCTTAATGAGCAAATCCTGTCATTCTTTTTGTCTTACAAATGTAAAATTATTTGATTGAATAGACTAGCACAAGTACTTTACATTTATGCAGAAAAGTAACCAGAAAAATGTCTCAGAATCCCAGTTTTGAGCTTCCTCCCCAAAATTTGGCCTGAAAAGTCTGTGCAGCATTCTCATACTCCATAGTTTCTGTTCAACTGAACTGCCGCCTTTGGAAGGCAGTGTGCTCCCTCTTGCTCTCACCAGCTGGTAGTAACATAATTTCTGCTTTTCTCAGTGTTTCAAATATCTTTTTGAAAGAACCCTAGGGCAGCAAATGTTGTGTCTTCACAACAGGGGGAAAAGGAATATTCCCTTGCAAGCCTTTGCACAATCCAGACATTAAATCCTGGCCTCAATTCTGAGAGATGGCAACAAACTATATAAGCTGCAGTGAAACTCGCTCCTGCAATGCACTGGGACAGAGGATGAAATATCATTGGTGATGGTTTTGCCAAAAGTGTACTAAAAACTGGGAGGACTGATACAGGATTTAGTATTTGGAAGATGTTCAGTATTTCAAAGTTGTTAATGTTTTGCAACTTTTAAAAATGATTATGCCTGATATGTGCAGCAGCTAAATCTTTCTTGTTGATAATCAGAGTTGATTTATCTCTCTTTAAAAATTGATCTTATGACATACAAGATCTTATGACTCCCAGGAGGAATTAAATAGCTTAAGCATAATCATTTAGATGAAGTTCACCCTCTGGCCTCTTCTTCGTATCTCCAGTTCATACCTGTCGAATTCATTTTGCCAGAAAAGCTGTTTAATCTTTCCTGTTCCTCCCTCTTCTTCAACACCCCCACACACACACACACTGAATTGAACTCATAGTCATAGCACATAAATAAAAAAACCTCAACATTTTACCTCTCAAAGAAATGGGAAATTTTTAATACAGGGTAGACTACTATAGCAATGATGGACTGGACCACTCAAGGGACGTGGGTATACAGAATGTCTCATTGAAGTTAAAGTCAAACCAAAGGCAAGGACTTAGATCCAGCTCCCCAGTAGTCTTTGAATGGACAGAAGTCCGTACCAATTGGGTTAGTAGGGACTGCTAAATCATTTCAGTGACCTGTATTTTTTCCACTTTTATTATTGTTGTGTTGCATGGATGTGTTGTTGCATGGATGCTGTGTTGCATGAAACTTATAGATTCAAATGCATAAGTCACTTTCCACAGTGTAAAACATTTTATGAATAGCAGTGTACAGTATCTTCAGTACAGATCCACATTTCAATTAGTTTGTTTGATTTACTCTAGTTCGAGAGCCTTTTTCCCCAGCGTTAAATAAACTTTGTCGAAGTCTGTAAGAAGTATGACAGAATTTAAAACTACTTGAACTCTGAAGTTAAAGAAATACCTGTACTAAGGGAAAAGAGTCCACAGCGTTTCATAGTGTCATTTCATTCGCTAGTGCTATATATTGACTAGGAAACTGCAATCTTAAATCGAATCATTAAATTCCACAAGCATTCAGATTTGGGTTCATAATTCAGGCTGGGAAGAAAATTTCATAAAATACATACTGAGGTTTGGATTTCAATCCATCTCAAGCTATGCAGGTGTTAAAATGATGATATTCTTGTCATTCATCCTTCCTTAAATTTTTGAGTAGCTGTAGTTGTCATCCTTAACATCTTTCACCTGTTCACTTTAGATCATTGTACCTGTTCAGCAAGATTAATTTTGCTCAAGTTGCACATTTTTACTTCAAGTCTTAACCTTCAAGAAGATTGAGTTGTTCTTTGCTATACATACCTATTTGGTTTACTGACTTACTGACTTCATACACTCCATGCTGGCATGAACTGGGAAGATCTGAAGAGCATTACTGAGTGTAAATAGGTGGGGGGTGACTTATAGCAATGATAAATCTGAAAGGATGAAAGCATTTACTGATCCTAAATCTTATGTTTCATGTTGTAAGACAGAAACTGGGTTTACAAGAATACTGTTATTAGGGATTCAGCTCCTGGAAAAGCCCAAGCCAAAATACTTTTTCAGTCATGTTCCCCACAAAGCAATAGAGGACAAAGATGGAGAGGGACAGATTGTAGAACCCTCCTTACAGACTGTCCTATAATTGTAAACTTCGCATTACAGTCCTAAACGTGGCGTATCACTCCCCACACTAAACCATTATGTAGCACACAGAGAAAGCATAGGTTGAGATTGTGTCTTAGTAGTTTATTTTACCCTCAAAACTCTGATTTCCCGGAGGTTATTTGGACATTACTCATATTTCTGCTTGTCTTGAAAGTGGATTTTGTAGAAGAGTTGGCTGAAATACTCTTATTTGATTATTTTCCTGCTAAAATAGTCTATTCCCTAATCTGGAAGTTTCCAAAGAGAGCTTTTACATTTTGAAATGCTGTCCTGTTAGAATATCAGGCTTTTTTGTTTATTCTTATTGACTCCTTATTTGTTTTCCTTTATCTTAATGCTTTCTTGTCACACAGTCTATACCCTCAGCTCATGTGACTTTTTTCACAGGTTTTTTGTTTTTTTTTTCTCATTCTGCCATCCTTTATCTTCTTTTGATTTTGAAGTATTGAAGAATGGCAGAAAGAAACTGAAAAATGTCCAAAAATAATTGTGAACATTATCTGTTTCTGGCATAGGGGATTAAAAAAAAAATACAGAAGGGATGGGACGATACAGAAAAAGGCTTTATCTTAAAAATAAAATGAAACAAGCGGATCCAAACAGTGTCATTGCTTCGGTGCATTGGAAAAGATAAACATTTTTGGTTTTAACTTTTTCAGTGTTTTTTTTGTTGTGGGTTTCTTTGGTTTCTTTTTTTTTCCTTAGTCTTTTTCCTGTTTCCCATTAAGCTGCTATTCAGGGATAAATTGCCCAGTACTCTCTCCCCATTGCACTGTGGATTTTATAGAGCTTATTTCTTTAACACAGCATGCATGCATGAACTTTCTTATGGACAAATGTCGCATAAGAAGAAAACAGTTTATTAAAAATAAAAATCTTTTTCCAAAAATAAAGCAGTGACAGAACCTGAGATTTCAAAAAGCTTTGTTACAATGAGTATAAATCATTTATCTCTCCAGAGCAGAATGTATTTTGAACTACCTTGCTCAGACTTTCATCATTTGTCCCTTATCCAGCAGCGTCTCAAGGCAAACCTCAAGTTTTTCTCTCTTTCAGAAGCTCTTTATTCCATGAAAATCCTTCTCAGTCTGTTGAATGGTTCCAGGCCATAGGACTCTCCTCTGTCACACAGTATCTTGCAACCGGCATTTCTCTTGGGCAGTAGAAGTTAGCTAGTTATTTTCACCAATAATTTTCAAAGGCAATGCTTCCAGGAATAGTTTTTAAATGGTGAAATCAGTGTATTTGTGGATGTACAGAGGAAAGTTCTGTTTGCTGGGAAGTTCAAGTAATTTGGCAAAGGTTATGTGGCAGAAGGACAGGAGAGAATGTAATGATGTTACCCAGCATACCAAGGTGCCCCTCTACATCTCTGCCTAGGAGCTAGTTCTCTAAGCAGGGTACTGGCTGTGAAACTTGCAGTCGCCACTTCACTTGATGCTTTAGTCATTTCCCCTTTGCTTAAAGTCATAGTTAACAGTTTGCACCCTGCCTCTACAATATTTCTTAGAATTTAGGTGTCTGTAACGGAAAACCCTGTTCCAGACATACCAGCTTACGTTCTCTTCATTGTCAATCCCTGTTTGCCCTATCAAATTTGAAATCAGCCTTCTGTTTGCCAGACAAGCAGGCTATGTATCTTTCACAATAGCATCCTCTGACTGATACTTGTTTTCATAATGAATTGCAGAGATACTCAAAATCAATGCACTGATCTGCTTCCAGCAGCCCAACAGTATCTGGCAACAGGCAGGCTGGGATTCCCAGCTGGTCATTTATGGTCAGAGTTTTGACAGATTTCACAAGGAGCATGAAGGATTGATCCTTTCATTCATACTGAAGGCTCTGAGCAATTTGAGGCAGGTCAAGCAACCTCTGAACCCACCAGGGAAATGGTAAAGGCTTTATGTCAAACCACGAGAGGGGGATAATTGCAATGCAGAGTCCATGAATACACTGGCCTTGTGGACTGTGTTATATTTGTGCTGCAAGACATGTCAAGAGGAGAGGCTGTGCCTCCCAGTTTAGGGACGGATCTTGGAGGCTTGAACTGATTTAAAGAACAATTGCAGCCTTGCAATATATTCCTCTTGTAATACATTCCTCTGTTATTACAGGAATTCAGAATTTAATTAAATTAAATACAAGGAGTCCCAAGGTGTGCATGCCAAAGACGTATTGATAGCATGAATTTGAAAACTACAGCTGCGCACACCTGAGGTACCATGTCACAGTGAAGTCTCTGCTGTGCTCTCTCAGGTTTTGTTCCCCTGCTGTCCCATGGCTTGGTGCAGGAGAGTATGTGTGCATTCCACACTCTCCCAGCGTAGTGAATTGATACGAACATACTAAGCTAGCCCTAACAAAAGAGCATATGCAATACATGGACAGTGCTTCACGGCTGTGCCACAATGAGTGGCATTGGAGGTAGGTTTTTTATTTTGTCCCTGGTGGAAAATTTATCATAAATGAGACTGTAGAAAATAAAAGGTCCCTCTGTAGCAGTACTACACAAATCTATTTTAAAGCAAACTCACTACATGTTCTTCAACTAAAAAGCTGGCATGTTTAACACATTGTTAGCGCTCCATGTACAAGTCAGTGGATCAGGCAATGAGCCAGTTTTGCTCTAGGCACACAAGCCTCGACCAAACACAGCTCAGAACAGTACTAAAGTGGGTGTCTCATGGCTGAGCCAAGGACCATCATGAGATCTCAGGGAGGCTGGGAAAGGTGAGGAAATGCTGATTTCCCTTTGTCCAGGTTCAAGTAGCTGGAAACCTGATGCCAGAATCGCCATCCCACAAGCAACTTATACCTGGAATAAGAATGGAGAATTAGTTATATGCAACCCTCAAACTTCTGAATCAGTCCAGATTCTTATTTTGCGCTGTATTCAAGGCTTAAGTAGCTTGGAAGTTCCTCATTCTCTACAGATTATTGCCCTTAGCCAGGAAACGCAGTAAATCTAGTAAATCACTTCCCCAGAGATATGCTGGGTACCACCCATCATCTGAAGAGTCTGAATGGGACAGTTTCACATCTTTTCCTCGCGCATAAGTTCATTACTGTGCACTGATGTGAAGCAGTTGCCTTTCTAGGAACCAGCCCACCATTCTGATTCAAAAGATTTCCAGAGATCTTGCTTTCCATTTCAGCTGCCTGCTACATGGCAGCATGAACTCCATTATCAAGCCATTGCAACAATCTCATCTGCTCACCCACCCACCTAGGATCAAGGGGAGACATAGCCCTTTCCCTCCCAGAGAAAGCCGTGCAATAGGTAGAAGCAGAGCTACAGCTAGGCTTAAGACAACCTTAGATTCTTGGGGTTTTAGCTGCATTCACTGCTGCCATGGGCATGTATTCACTGTTGTACTCATGGGACTTGGATTCACACTGCTGATTCTGCCAACAGAGAGAAAATGCCATGAATATAATTTGTGGTCATTGTGGTCGCTGACCTCTGCCACATCTGCCTTTATTGTTTAAGTAGGGCAGTTACTCCCACTGTTTTCAGTGGGAATATTTAAGTCAGAAGAGACAGGCACTCACATAGGAAACTTGGAATAAAACAAACTGAAAATGAAAAACACACATTGTCCAAAAGAATAATGAATGTCCATGGTCTCTTCCCTGAGCCAACTGGTTCTTTGTTTAAGTGCTTTTGCTCCAAAACAGTGCTGGAATTGCTCCACTGATGATTTGTTTCCCCTTCTTGAAGAAAACAATCAGGTGAATTGGTTACCAAGGTAATTTTGCTGACCTGTGCAGCATTTCCTCTCTTTCCTTTGATTCCCAGCTCTTTAAATTAATAAGCAATTCTGTCTTAGAAAAATTAAATCTGAGCTGCTGAATGACTGAATTCCAGGGGTAAATTAACAACTCAGCCTCTTTGTCAAAAACCACATCATGTGCTGAGTGAGTATGTGCCTGTCCCATGTTCTAAATCTCATTAAACCAAGTTCCCCATCCATGACCTTTGGAAGGAGGGTCCTGCAGAATCTCATAGACTTGCTTACCTTGTTCCAAAGGTAGCAGGCTATGACACAACAGACACAAGAAATCATGGCAAACGTGATCAGGCCAGTAATTATCCATGGTGTGAGTCCCATTGAAATGCAATCCTCCTTATCTGAAGTTGGGGAGGCAAAAAAAGTCGTTACTGATAATTTGTATTCACTTCCTCCTCCCCCCCCACCACCACCCAAGTTAACTTTCCAAATTTTTTCCCCTCTTCCCTTCATATTAATGCCGTAGCAAAAGTGAGCTCTAGAGAAGGATTTTCCTGAGGTGAAAAGCCACCTTGGAAGTGTGTATTCTGCAGGAAGCAGGACATTACAGTTTCCCAGGAAGGGTGAAACTGTTGGTACACAGGGCTGAAAGTGTAGACTGAAAAGAAACCAAACCAGGTCTGAGAGCCTGATGGTATTTCAGATGAGCAAAGCTTACATGCAGTGAATACTACAGGTGATTTAAAAGGCAGCATAGACAAAAGAAAGGCAGTCATGTTTGGATAGGAAGGCAAGCTGACGGACACAAGATTGCCCTTGCCCAGATCAGGGAGAAAATATGCTAGGGCATGAAATATCTGGCAATAGCTATGAACATCTGGCTATCTATAAAAATGGAAATGTACAGCTTCGGGAAACACTGCAGACAAAAAGGGATGCCACATCTTAATTCTGAGAGCTGGTTTACGTTTAGAGAAGGCTGAGAGATAATTTGACCCAACCACATAACTGTAGCCTTAGCTTTTATCTTTGTTTAGTCCTTGTGTTAAGAGGTAGGAAAAGATAGCAAGGGAAGGGCAACAGGCAGTAACATGTTGCAACTGGACTATACAGAGAACCAAGAAGAGGTATGAGCAAAGCCAGTATTAACTCTCTTCACTTAATATACCAAAGAGTCACTGAGTGTTAGGCAATTAAAAATTAAAGCCTATATAGTGAGTCTTTTGAAGTTAGTCCAAGCCCTTCTTAGTAAAATGCAAAAAATCCTCAGCAGCTGTCAATCTTTTCTGGTCTAAAAAGGCTATAAACTTGAAGGCCTGCTTCAGAGAGGTGAACATAATCTTCACATCAGTGTGGCGTCAGAGTTCCAAATACCACTACTAGCACAGATATTTGACAGCTGTTTTGTGTTTTAGTTGTTGGGGTTTTTCTTATCCCAGGCACATAAAGATAGCTCCCAGGATAGATTTTTTTTCCTCTGGCTAGAAATAATCTTAACATTTACACTCAGCAGCCTGTAAAAAGAACAATGGGAAATTTGTGCTGCAGGCAAAGGTGGGACTGCAATACTCCAGAAGATGTTTCGCTAGCTTCCACAGCACCATGCAGAGCTCAGCATGGCCTACAAAGCCTGCCCAAGAAGATGAATAACTATGGAGAGGTCCCACTGAGCAATCTGCCAACTCAGCTCCACTGTGACCAGCCCCCTGCTAAGTAATCTTAAACTGTCTTAGAAATATCTGTGCAAAATCTAATCACATTTTTCACTGCAGCATAGCTATGTCCAATGTCTGCTTATCAGTAGCCTGAAGTGAGGGGAGAAGAGAAGTAAACTTACCTTGGATGTACAAATAGGTTTCCTTCAGCCGGCACTCTATATAAGGAGGGGGTAAGAACTTCTCCAGGCAGTAGGTATACATGTCCATGTGTTTTCTTTCCAGATTTTTGAGGATGAAAGTGGTGCTGCTTTTTGAATGCATTGTCTGACAGTAGGTGACATTACTCTTGGGGATAACATTCCCCTCACTCAAATGGAGTGCACAGATCTCCTTCTTTTCATGCCCTTTGAAGAGGGTCATGCTGAATTCACTCACATTTTTGGGGTTGGGGAATATGAACCTGAAGTTTCCATTTTCAAATTCCACCATCATTTGGGAGTCAGAGACATGAGGCTGATCTGAAGACATGAAAACTATAAGTATAGTCACTCACATAGCAATGAAAAGAATCCCTAAAAATGTTAAGAAACTCATTTAAACAAAGCAAGTGAGCCATGTGATTGAAACTTAAGGCATGTAGGTACTCAGAATAGTCTGGCTGTGGAAAGCAGTCTGTACAATGAGATACCAGTGCATTATTCTGGTCATGTCAGGCATTACTGAGAAAATAAATAAGACCTGGCCTATTGTCCACTGTAAGGCTGGAGAGTCACTGTTAGCATTGGATCAGTGAGTTACTTGAGAATGTTCAAAGGCCGCCTTGGACAAAACACTATATGGACATATAATCCTTGCCTCAGATGGATTATCCTAAAACAAGGTGGGACAAAAATTATCATCTCTGATTTATGATTAATATTTTGCACCCTAATGATCATAGAACCACAGAATCGTTTGGGTTGACCTAAAAGACCTTTAAGATCATCCAGTCCAATCATTAATCTAGCACTGCCAAATCCTCCACTGAACTACATCCCTAAAAGCCACATCTACACATCTTTTAAATACCTCCAGGGATGGTGACTCAACCACTCTTCCCCAAGCCTATATAGTGTTGCATGGGCTTATTGTGATTCAAGTGGCACTCAGCCTCTTTGAATTCACAGCTTATTGTGATCTGGCATTCAGCCTCTTTGAACCTCATACAGTTGGGCTCGGCCCATTGATCCAGCCTGTCCAGATCCCTCTGTAGAGCCTCAAGCACGTCAACACCCCACCCAACTTTGTGACATTTTCAAACTTCCTGAGGCTGCACTCGATCCACTCACTCCTCCAGATTATTTATAAACATAACAAAACTGGCTTCAATATTGAGCCCTGGGGAACACCACTTGTGGTCAGCCGCCAACTTGATTTAACATCATTCACCACAACACTTTGGGCTGGCTATCCCACAAGTTTGATGATGTAGCTGAAAACTTGAAATGGGATGTAAACACCAAACTCCTACAGAAGTGCATTAACCACAAGACATATCTTTCTTTTCTAGAGTAGATAGTGGTCACAGGCATAACATGAAGTTTAAACCTAATTATTTAAATGGCCATAGCACCTTTATTACTAACAAAATGGGAGGAGTAGAAGACAAATATCTCTGTGTGCATGTACCTACATGCAATCAAAAAATCAAGTTTGATCTTCCCCAAAATTGTCTAAAACCTTTGAGACATTGTGCAAATCTCATTTGGCAAATTTATTGGAGAAGATAAAGAAAACAAACTGACCAACCACCTCCTGCTACCTCACAGTTTGACTTTGTAAATCAGCAACCAATAGCATGAGAAACTCCCTCAGACAAAAATATGTTAAAGTGTGCTGTAAAAGAATTACTACTTTTTCATTTGAGGTCAGTATTTTCTGATCTAGAAAGGCATTTTAAACCATTAAACAAATTATGCATGTATCTTACCTATATTTTTGCACGGTCTTGACGAGCAGCTGTCTGATCCTGAAAAATACAGAATAGTTTTCTGTTTAATATTCAAGAAGAGAGATGCAGGAACAGAAGCTGAGCCATGCAATGTTAACATGCTGAAGTTATTTTCCACTTTGTTTCATTAGCCTATCTCATCCTGTCTGTGCTACACTATAGAATCTTATGATGTGATAAATGGGAAAAATAGGAAGTAGGAAAAACACAGTAGAAAGACAATGCAATAGGTACGAATTGTTACTGATTATACATATAGCATTTACAAATTCTTAAAACACCTCCGGAAAGTGATAGACTTAATTCATAAATAGAAGCCAAGATGAAACTAAAATTTCCCCCAAAGGAAATCTGCCCCCAAATAAAAAAGCATTTTTTTTTCACTTCTTATGAATCCAGAATCTGCACTGAGCCAGAATTATACTTTGCTTCCAAACTAAAGTGCTCATGTTGGTCTATGTTCTTTCTGTTTCCCCCACTGCTCAACACTGTACCAAAACATCTTATGGCACATCCAGAATGCGTATCTTGAAGATGCTCCAGTACATACAGCAAAAAAATATTCAGGTAATGCTTACAGTTCTGTTCCTTTTTCAGCAGTTTTTCCCCTTCATGATTATCAAACTGCATTCAGTCTATTGTGCATAAGCAGCCTCCGTTACAGAAGACAAGTGGTTCACAACCCACTGTACTGGAAGTGGAATTTTCTGGCTGCATTGGTGGCATGTACTGCTTTGAAATGGTTTGTATGTCAGTACTGGCAGCATAACACAGCCCAACAGGGTTTTATTAGGAAATTTTATTTTTGTGGTGCCCTAAAATTCAAGGTACAGCTCAGTACACAAGTAGAAAAAACCCTGTTATCTGCTTTTTCTGTTTTCTGGTAACCTGAGTAAGTTCTTCAGAAACTGCTGAGGTTGAAATACACCCTACATCAGGATTTTATGATGTTAAGGAAATACAGGGCCAATATTTAAACACTTTGATGCACCATCCTATTCTTGTTGATACTGCTATATCGGTAGTCTAGATCCACACAAAGTCCCCAACTGTGTCAAGTGTCACACAGGATTACCCAGTAGAAATAATCCTTTTTCCAAGGCACCTGTTATCTTTGACATCCAGCCTGCATATGCACAGGAACAGATTATTCTCATTTGGGTACTTCTGTATGCTCTCATCTCTTTCTGAACAGAGCCAATCTTTTAGTGTCCATGCTTTTTCCTTCTTTGAATTCTTGCTCCCCAATTACTACCACTGGCAAAGGCATTGCAATGAATGATACTTGTTTAAAATATTTTTAGTGTGACACACAAGCTAATGGACTTCTGGAAGATGCTTTGTGATGCTCAGTTGGAAAGCAGTAGCAACTGTTACCTCTTTTTGATTGATTTACTCTCTCCTAGTTATCATATTCCTGGTTTACTGTGCATGGTCAGCACCCTTATCTAATTCAGCAACAACTATATAAGTGTGTCATAACAGAAGGGGTATTTGGCATCTTATACCACTGGTGTGAAGATAAGACAGATAAAACACACATCTCACCACAGTGAAACAGAGCTTCGTCTTCGCCACAGTGAGATAGAGCTCTAGATACACTGAATGCACAGACACAGAAAGTGTGAGCCCTCATAATGGCATATAGTGTGAAAAGCTGAAAGCAAAGGTCTAATAAACAGTTCTTGATGACTTGCATGTTGCATGGTGAGAGAAAACAGCTGCTATGAGAATAGCATTTGAAGTAAAGGTCTTTTAAAATGCTCTGTAGTTTAATGGCATGTAGTTTGGCAACGTATACCTTTTAAATTCTGCTCAGCAGCAGACACATTATTTAGGGAAGAAAAAAACTGTATTGATACAGCAGAAGCTAGGGAGCATGGTGAATGTGCAAGCCAACCTGATACTCTTGAGAAGCATCCACCTGTAGCTGAGACCTCTACATTTGTCACTGGTTGTCTGAGAGGCAGGTGGGGCTCTGTCAGGACAGCTACAGAGGCAAGCAGTGCTATATTCACCCAGCACCCCAGAGGAGTGCAGGGCTACCTTGCTCTCTGTGAAGTAACAGCTTTGAATTTAATTTCTCTGTCCCTAAGAATAGCTATATTTTGCTGTTAGCTAATGAAATTGCCCTTTCATAGCAGGTGGTTTAAAATGTTTGTCAGAGATCATGGTTTTAATCCTTGTTTTTAATGGAAAAGGGCAGAGAGAGGTCATTAAGCATGTAGTTCGTGCGACCTTGTGGCAAGCTGAAAGATCATTTTGTATTCTCTCAGGCCAAGAAGCCTTAACAGTCTATTCTCAAGAAAGACTCAGCAATGTGTTTCTCTGAATGAGCATTTTGGCACATGTGACACAATTAGTATTCCTCTGAAACAAGTGAGTGTGCTTAGCATAGTATAAAGGGACCGCATTTTACAATGAGATCAACGATGCCTGAGATTAAAACACAAAACCATCTACATGGATGACCACAATGGGTGAGATCTGTTATGAATTTCCAATTCACTAGCTGTACTGTATCAGCTCCTAATCTGAATGCCCTCACTGCATACTAAAAGGTGGCTTATTCCCCCTTCCCTGTGCCTGATTGCTGTTCTCCTGTGCCCATTTGTGAGGGTTCAATCCTAGGATGGTCATACAGGCCTGTAACACTCTGTAGTTAATTACCAGACACATTTGGGATGTCATCTGCTAAGTTACAGTCAGTATAAATGTACATTTAGTGGGATGGGAGATAAGAAACTGGAATTTAAACTTCCAGTAATATAAAGAGATTTGCTCACTAAACCTTCCTAATAGTCACCTCAAAAAAAAAACAGGTGGATAAAAGACTACATCACAGTATTGCTGAAAATGAGCAGAAGAACCTCCACTGGGTCAGGAGTAAAGCTGCTTAGATTTGGCAGCAAGGTTCCTTTTTAGTATTTTTCATAAAGGAGCTAATTCAACCACATATGAAGGTTTTGAGACAAGAATAAGAAAATCTTTTATTCATTTCATAGCAGTGTCACACTGTGGAGTTGCATAGAGTTGTTCCTGGCTCACCTCATGTGAAGCAGAGTGTCAAGACAAATGTTGTTGTTCAGATGTGAATCCAAGAGATGAACATGTGTATGAAAGTAACATCTTGCTATGTCAAACTATGAAAGAGTGTGTGTGCACATTTTATGTATGTGTGTATTTACAGTCATGTACATTTCTGTCTTGGTTTCATCTTTACTGCAGCGTGAAAGCCCTTTGGCAGAGGTTTGGGCATTTCTATGATAGTGTGAGTGTACACTAAGACCAGTGGGAGGCAGGTTATTTTTGTTTTAGTGGGATTGTGATTTTGAGCTTTCTGGTTGCTCTTTGGCAGAGCCAGTGCAATTTTAAACATCCATTACGCATTTTTGTCCTAACAGAAGTTTAAAACCCACTTTTGATTAATTTTAAACCTTGGCTGTAGGGTAGGGGAATAGAATATTCCTGCTTGGTTTTCTTGCTGTTTGTTTCACCTGCCCCAGCTCTCAGAAAACTAATCAGCTGATGAAAAAGAAGAGGATAATTTCACTTGGGTGTGTTTGCCTCTGAAGGTGAGCAAGAAGAGTGCAGACCTTGCCTTTAAACCAAACACATTTCTTTTGTTAAAAACAAATGCGTAATGAAACCACACAGTTTTTAAAGTTGCTATAGCTTCGACCTTTCAAGGTCCTCTGAAAGATGACAGTGTCAATTCAGTGTCATTAGTCATATGCTTGAAACTAACATGTTCTTAGCTTTTAAGAATCAAGGAATAAGAGAGGAAAGCCGTGCTTCTGGGCAAAGCAAGTAATGGACAGAATTACTCTAGGAAGCCATTTATAATCTGAATGATTTGTATGGTATAACATATATTGTGAAATAAAGAAACTCTTATAAAACATATCACTGACACAGCAACCATTGTTGATAATATTTCAGACACCCTTCTGAGAAATGACCATGATTTCCTCCTATATTGGGAACAGGACATCTGTGGGTAACAGTAATAATGCTTTGCAAATGTTGGCATGCAAAAGCTCATGTGCAATGTTTCATAGCAAGGGCCTCAAGTGCTATAGAATCCTACAGCTCTGTACTCCCAAACCCCATTGCCTGTGTTTCTCTGCAGGCACCAGAGAGTCTCCATGTTCTTACAGCACTTTCTTTATCACAACTAGGATATAAACTCATAATACACATATACACACATACATCACCTTCTGTGACTTATTTACATTGATAAAAACCCTATCCACAAGTCACAAGTAGGGCTTATAATCACTTAGTCAAAAAAAAACAAAAAACAAAACACAAAACAACAAACAACCCAACCAATCAATCAAACCAACAAAATCTCAGATATTGCTCTCCTTTTGCTCCCAGAAATTCATCATAGTGCTTGAGAGCTCTCTGAAGTGCTGGCTGGTTCTCTAAATGACTAATGTGTCATACATGGAGCTGATCTTTTACAGTCCTTTTCTTTTGAGCAAGAATGATAATAATTAGTACTTTTTATACTGGAAGCACTGTAATGTAAAACAGTTGAGAGATAGATACAATTCTTGTTACAGGCAGGCTCTTTCTCCTGCAATCTCCTCTCCTCAGCTCCCTGATCAAATCCTATCCACCATATATGGAGAAAGGGAAAAAGAAGGGAGAAATGCTGGTACCAGATAGCACAATTGATTGCACCCTTAAAATGCAGCCTATTTCTTCCCACTAGGAATGGCCTAGCTAGATAGCTTCAGACACATGTAAAAGCATATTGGTCGAGTATACCTGCTCAGTTGACTAGCTGAGAAATATTTAACAGAACTTATAGGGTTTTTTGTTAGCAGATTTAAGAATAACTTTTCAAGGAGAAAAGGAGCAGCTCATGTCCCTTCAGAGATAATTATCACCATCCTCCTCCCCTGTGATTTCACCCATCATTTCAATCTCTCTGAAAACTCAGTATACTATTGCTGTATTAGTTAACCTTCAGAAGGGTATCTGCATTGCCTGAAGATCTGGAAACTGGTTTTTATTCAAATGAAAGCTTAAATTCTGTATGAAACCTCAGGAGTACTTAAATTCTACAGGGGGACTTGAAACCCATCCTACATCACTAGAATTTCAGAAGCAACCATATTTGATAGCCTTTGGCATGACCTTCAAGGGAACATGTTCAGATGGTGCTTAGTAACAGTGTGCACTAAATCTCAGGTCTTACTTAGGTGATGCATCATACTAAACCCTTGGGAAGTATACTTACAATAAAAAAGAGACTCTTCTTAATCAGATATTATCTGTATTGCCGTGCCTGCCTGGTAATAGGGGAGGTTCAGAGAGGCTACAGATAAATGTGAGCTCTGATATTTTACTTTGTGTAGCTGTGATAAAACACTGACTCTTGTAAAATGCTACAGCCATGTTTGTGGCTGGATTAAGATCAGTGCTGTCACCATGTGCCTTCTCAACACAGCATTAGGGATGCTACACTTCCTTTTAAGTCATCTGTGTTTCAAGCCTGCATCAAAACAAGCTCTTCCACTCTCCCATGCTATACAGATTTTTAATAGTAAAAAAATTCCCTACCCAGACAAGAGCAGGTTCAATATCAATAACCTGGCTTCCCTTATTAAACCATTTACTCTCATGCTGCTATAAGACATAATGCCCAGCAAGGGAAGCTGGTGGGAGCATTACAGTCTAAACAGCTAGAAGATAACACTGAGCAGATGAGCTAAAAGGTATAAACATTGAAAAAGTGTACTGTTCCGTTTCAAAGCAAATGCCCTGTGCTGGCAGGAATTCTCTTCACACCAACTCTAGCGGCATTAAAGTTGAGAGCAGTCTTTTCGCAGCTGTTTGCCTTAGTTACCTCTGTTCCTCCAACCCTTGCTATTATGGCTCATTTACTGTCTCCCATCACTGGGTGAGTTCTATCCCATAGAGACATCTACTGCAAAGAGAATAATCCAAAAGAGTACTCACCATACAGGGTTTCAAACTGAAAGCAGAGGACACAGAAAGTTAGAGCAACGAACTTCATGCTTGCCTGACAGAGAGGCACCAGCCTTCTGTCTACTGTGAAGATGGGAAAGAATTCATGAGTAGAAAAGGAAGTGGTTTGTGGGCAATGGGGGAAATTATATGATAATCAGAAGGACTTTTTAATTTAACCCCTGACTACGTTACAGCTATGTCAGCATTAGCTGTCGCCCACACCTGTGGAGTTCGCTGCTTTTTCCTACTTCACGGTTTGCTGTCACAGACAAGAAGATGAAAGATTTTCTGACATTACGTTTGATGTTCACTTTTACAAAGACTGTTTCTGGTTAAATCTGTCATGATAGAGGACACAGTCATCTACAGAACACTTCCTGCAGATGGCCCAACTTGTCCCTTAAATTAACTTACAATACATGCATATTTGTAACTGGCAATCTGGTTCATCCGCACCATTTTCAGCTGGTCTTGCATAACTGATGGTGTTGCTCTATGTAAAAACCATTACTTAGTAGGGTAGGAGTCTATTGCATGTCCTGGTCCTGGAATTCATTGAAAGAACTAGTCCAAATTGCAGAAAGATGCCCTAAGCCCTGTGATTTCCCGAAGGCTCAGTAGATATAAAGCTTCCACCCTGGTGGTCAGGCTTGCTCTGCATGGGCATGAGAAACTTCATGGGGCTCTGTGAGAGGAGGAGATCTGACCCGTTGCCCAAGGGCCTGAGGTGAAAAGTTTCTCTCCTTTCCTCTGCCTGCTTTTGTGCAGCATACTCTATTCTGGCCTGCTATCCATCTGTATTCTGGGAAAGCTCTAGGACCCTTTGGGATAACACATTCTATGATCATTTAAAACTGGCTATTTATTTATGCTTATGTCATGGTTTAAGCCCAGATGGTAACTCAGAACCACGCAGCCACTCACTCACTTCCCCTCTTCCTTTTCCCCTGCTCCCGCAGGGATGGGGAGGAGAATCGAAAGAATGCAAATCCCATGGGCTGAGATAAGAACAGTTTAGTAACTAAGGTATAACACAAACCACTACTGCTATCACCCATAATAATGATGATAAGGGAAATAACAAGGGAAGAGAATACAATTGCTCACCACCCACCAACCGATGCCCATCCTGACTGGAGCAGCGATCTGGGACTTCCAGGTAACTCCCCCCAGTTTATATACTGGGCATGACGTGCTGTGGTATGGAATACCCCTTTGGTTAGTTTGGTTCAGGTGTCCTGTCTCTGCTTCCTACCGGCTTCATGTGCCCCTCCTCACTGACAGAGCATGAGACTAAAAGTCCTTGATTGGGTAAACATTACCGAGCAACAACTGAAATCATCGGTGTTATCAGCGCTGTTCTCAGGCTAAAGTCCAGAGAAGAAAAATGACTGCTACAGCTGAACCCAGGCCATCTTGTCATCCTAATTTCAGTGCAGATAATATGCTGGCAAAGTAGCTTCTAAATCATGTTTAATATATTAGATGCAGCTAGCATTTCTGATTGCACAAAGGGAAGACACAAAAGACAAATAGTGGTGCCTGACAGATTTCCTCGGGGTGAGTTCATGTAATGGTCATGCAGTGGTACCAAATAATCTGTGAATTGCAGGACTGCGTTATAGATTCATTCTTGTGAATAAATCTTTATGTGTTGTTTTCCTCTTCCCCACAAAGTGACTTAATTTCTGTCACTACTACTGCTAAAGATCATGGACTGGCAGAGATTTTTACTCTTTTCAAAATCTTGCAAAGCTATTCAGATCTTTGGACTTTGTTAAATTAAAATTGGAGCTAAGCCTGAGTCAAGTCAGGATTTGATATAAATTTTCAGCTCAGGTCTCCAAAGCCGAAGTTAAGCAACTCTAACTAGAGAAAGTTTCTGCAGTATGCTTTTAATTCCGAAGCTTAAGAGTAATATATAGTCCAAGCAATGAGAAAGCTGAAAAAGATACAGCTGACTCCTGAGCTTTGCCTGTGAAGTTATGACCCATGTTGGTATCTACTGAGTTTCTAGGTAGGATCATCTTACTGTCCCCCATAACAACTTGTGGTAAGTGTTGAAACAACAGAGCAGCCCTCTCTTGTGAGGGGATCTTTATTGTCCCCACAAGTAAACATAAGACAAGCAGCCAGAAAGACTTACAGTAAAAAGAGCTGCTGCTGCTACAAAATTAAGGGAGGAAGAAAATCATGTGTAAAGTACCCATACACACTTTACAGATGTGTGCGCTGACAACACACCAAGGGCTGAGTCTACAAAGCCTACTGCTGGCTGCCAATAAAGGTGTGTGGGGAATGTATTCCTTTGAGCAAAGTTTTAGCTGTATTTTGTGAAAACAAGCTTTAAACCAAATCAGTATTGTTAGCATTCAAAAAGTGGGTTGTCTGTCTTAAAAATTTAGATACTTTGCCAAGAAAAGTTATTTTAGTATGGGGGGGGGGTGTGTTTGTTTTTTAATCAATATAGGGTTTTTTTTTGAAGCAACTTATTCCTTCCCTCCCTTCTCAGTGAGCTTACCAGTTATACCAATGCAGAGATTATTAATACACATCTATTTCCCTCCTGGGGTAAGAATAGCTACCAGAATAGATCTCACTACAACAACTGGAACAAGTCTTACTGTCCAGTAAGCAGTTTGTATTTGTTCTCTTCTTCTACTGTAATTGTAGCCTCAAGTCTAGAATTACACCTTCTCCTTTTCTGCTTCCTGGCACTTGGGCTGCTAGAAGACACTGCTCCCTTTGTTTCAAAAGGGTCCAGGACAGGGTGCAGTTTGGGGTACATTTGGCAGAACTCTGAACCTTGATTTAAACAGTGATTTCTTTCAGTGGTCAAGTATATTTGACGATGATCCAGCAGAGCCTAGGGCACTCACAGTGTTTGTTCAGAAGCGGAAGACACAAAGCTTAAGCTCAGAGCTGAGCACAAGGAATTGTGCTCACCTAATCCCACACCAACAGAGACTCCTCTGTTGCCTTTCAATCTTTCTGTCTTTGCTTCCCTCCTCTGTCAGTGCTTACTACTTCACAAAGACATTGTGACTGCAATTTGGAAATGTTTCCTGTAAATACTATGGTTGGTTACAGTTACAGTTAACCACCTGGGACAAGCAATCTGTTTCCACAACACACTTCCTATAACTACAACTATTTTTGTTCACAAACACGTGTTTCCTTTTTCCATCATCACTCATTTCTCTTTGTCTTGATTTTCACTCTCTCCTCCATATATGACTCTCAGAGTTAACTTCTTTACTCCTCTTACTGACCTTCAGTCCTTGTCTGCTCTTCTCTTCAAGCAGAGGCTACTCTTCAGCATGTGCAGTAGCTCCTTTCTGGAATGGGGCTTCTCCTTCCCCCAAGTCCCATTCTTTCGTCATGTCCTACGCTCAACACTACCCGTACAGTAGTACAGTTCTCCTATCATCTTGCTTCTGACTTGCCATTACTGACTATTAACAACTTGGAAAATCCTTATGAGCATTTTTATGCCTTTAAAAATGCATCCAGTGATACACCCAGTTGCAAAGAGAAAAGGGCTTGCTCATCCCTTGGTCCATACATCAGTGCTGTCTACCACGTGACCTTCAATGTTTCCCCCTTCTAACTCCAAGCAGTTTGGAAATCATTGCAGCTTCCCTAAGGAAGCTTCCCTAAGGAAGCTAATTTGCAACAACAATTTTCCCTGTGATGAACTAAGTATATTTTGCTTTGCTCTGTTTAATCGTATAACTCTCGTTCTACTGATTGGTATCACCCTAAATAATATCCATGTTAGCAAAATGCTACTGCATTGCTCGTTATGAAACAAAAGTGGTGTTTACATTGAAGTAGCTTGTTCTGTCTCAACAGTTTTCCACTTCTGCTTGTGGATGATCAGCAGATGCCCACAGCAATATAAAATATTCTCTCAGTAGAATGTTTTGTGATTCTTTCTGCAGAGGCTTCTACAGCCTATCCACACAAATTATATTCTGTTGGCTCCTGCTGCTTCTCATTCTTTCCTTCAATATCTGGCCTATATTCTCATGACTCTGGGTCATTCCCTCAGGGCTGGAACAGAAAGCTTCCACACTTGGGCGTTTTTGTTTCCTGTCCTCTTGCCCTGGGCTCAGCTGTAAAAGTTATTTTCTTCCTTCTTAGCAGCTGGTGCAGTGCTGTGTTTCAGGTTTAGTGTGAGAACAATGCTGATAACACATCAATGGTTTAGTTGCTAAGTAATGCTTACCCTGATCAAGGACTTTTTCAGTCTCATGCTCTGCCAGTGAGGAGGGGCACAGGAAGCCAGGAGAAAGCAGAGACAGGACACGTGACACAAACTTGCCAGAGGAGTATTCCATACCACAGCACGTCATGCCCAGTATATAAACTGGGGGGGAGTTACCTGGAAGGCCCAGATAGCTGTTCAGGTCAGGCTGGGTATCGGTCAGTGGGTGGTGAGAAATTGTATTATGCGTCACTTGTGTTTATTGGTTTTTTCCTTTCCCTTTTTAGTTTTATATTCTCTCCCCATGTTATTATATTTATAATGATAATAATGTTAGCGGTAGTAGTAGCAGTAGCAGTAGTAGTAGTATACTGTACTTTAGTTATTAGACTGTTCGTATATTAACTTGTGGGATTTATATTCTTTGGATTCTAATCCCCATCCTGCCCAGAGGAGTGAGGTGAGTGAACAGCTGCATGGTGCTGAGTTACCAGATGGGCTTAAACCACACCACCTCCAGTGCCTTTCACTCTGCTATTTTTAAGGTTCTGTGGTGGCTTTGAATCCTACTTCCCATCTGCATCACTGCCTATCAGGTGTGTAAAGAAGCTGCAGTCATTCAAGATGTAGAGGTTTCAGCCTGAAATGCAGCTCACGTGCTCCCTCATTTGTTCTGATGCCTCTTTTGGTCTGATCTCTCCCACAGTCCCCAGGGTACGCTGTAGGGTTCTCTCTATCAATGTGGGGTACACCATTAAGTTCTCTCTACAAGTGTGCCAGCAGAAGCTATCAGGGCTAAGCTCACCTGGGCAAACTCCTCTCTGCAAAGCAGACCTAATGAAAGAGTTCTCTTTAGGGTGTGAGTGTGTGTGGCTTTGCTTCTTGGTACAAGATT